ACGTTTCTCACTCGCTGCAACGACTGGATTCCAAAATCCAGTTCGCCGATCGTCGACAACGAGACGCTCGGCTCTCAATGACACGGAGGAATAGCGGAGAGAAGAACCTATGGAAAACGGCGCTTTTCATTACGCGAGGCGATCATCAAATCAAGACACGTCCCCATGTGTGACGTCAGCTGGACGGCTTTAAAAATAAAAGCGGAACTAGCGGTTGAAGAGGGAGAAAGAAGAAGACAGTCCGACGAAATAGAGGGCTCGTTGGTCGTTGGGCGGAGAGCGATTGGGCGTGTGCAGTTGCAGCCTCGTGTACAGAAATAACCATGGACACCATGGAACGGGTGCATAAAGGGAACGGAGAGGAGAAGGAAGGACGTTCTCCCGTTGACCTGAATAAACGTGACCTGTATTCCGGTGCTGCACAGGACGCGCCGGTAGCATCGACCTGAGAGCCGTGAGCTCGTCGACCTGCGTGGGCGTGCCGAGAGCGAATCCTCCGCCAGGAATTAATTGAAACTCCAGCGATAATAATTCGCGTTTAACCTTTTCGCTACTAAAGGGGTGATCCTTTCTGCGAATCCTTTAACGCAAATGCGCTGCTGCGTTACCTAGCAATCCTAACGTACACGCGCTTATCTCTACCAAAGTTAACACTTTTGGCCGCATATTTTTCTCCTGGCTTTTAAGTTGCCGCTTTTAGGTGTCGCGGAGATTTTACTGCTCGCCGTCGGCGATACTTACGCAATCGTTCGCTGGATAATTATATAGTAATTACATTACTACATCTGTTAATAAAAGTTAGCTTGTCGAATTAGAGATTTTTGCATTTTTTCAATGTGAAAATTAATTTAAAAATTTACGTCCCTCGTGTAGACGTAATTAGAGAATTTGCAACCAGATCCCCCATAAATCTCAGTTTCTTTTCAAAAAGTAATAATTACCATGTCACAGACCAAGTAAGCAGGTATCTTGCAAGCAACGGAATAGTTTTTCAAAAGTATTTATTAGAATAAGAACATGGAATTCGAGGCCTGAAATCATTTTTCTACGTCTTGCGAAAATAGCAGTGGAATATCACATTTTCGTGACACTTGTCGAAAAGGAGTCACACGTACGTGACAGTGGCCGACAATGTATTGAGAATAAATGCAAAATTTTATTGGGTGAATAAAATCGCTGATAGTATACAACGAGCAGCAGATGTCAGTGAATAGTCTGACTATAGTCATCGGTAGTACCCAATGAGCATCAGTCGTTGGGTGAATATAGTCACCGATAGTACACAATGAGCATCAGATATTTAGTGACTATAGTTGCAGATACTTAGTGACTATAAAGCATCAGATATTTAGTGACTATAGTTGCCGATAGTACACAATGAGCATG